ATTGTGGAGATCAGAAACTTTGCACTTTTAACTGGACTATGTGAGAAAATCCATAAATTTGTGATTTGCATCCGGATAATCTTTCGTGAATTTGTGATTTAAAAAGACAAGTAAGCGACTTCCATCTTATGATCAGAGATCTTTTATTCAACGTAAATAAATTCTAATACAGAAAATGATGAAATATCCTATATAACGCTTTGGAACCTTAATAATTTAGTATTCATTAATTCTTAGAAATACAAATTTCCAAGAAATTGTACAGAAATACAAATTTCCAAGAAATTTTGAAGCTTTTTAAATTATTTTAAAGTTTGATGTGTCAAAAAAGAGGTGCCTATCTGTTAAGTTTTTGTGAGTGACACTCAACTAATATATATATATAGGATTAGTCTAATTTTCTAATTGGGAAAAAAAAAAAATTGTGTGTGGAAAAATGTTGTTATTCCGTCCGAAAAAGTTGAAATTGTTTAAGCAGTGAAAATGACAGAAATAACCTTGGTGTTTACGATGTCGGCTTTTGGTTACTTGATATGAATCATCATCTTCTTTGAAAGCTCTCTTTCCATTATCCCCCAAATTCAATTTCAAAGGTCACCATCGCTCTAATCTGGTTATCGATAAGGAAAACAGGTAAATTCTACTTTTTTTTTGCTCTGTTTTTTTTTTCTGTTCGGATTCCACATTCCTTCTATTGTTTTCGTAGTTTCTCCGACCATACTCATCGTCGATTTCCTCCGATTTGAGTGTATTTCGCATGAAATTAACCCCTTTGTCTAGTTTCCGTAATCCAAAGTTTCCGTTTTGATGTTATAGATTTGAGTTTCCTCGTTTCAATATGAATCGTCTCTGCTTGTGATTGTCCGGAGTTTTCCCTAATTACTCTTAGTTCTCTGTCAAATGTCAATGCTGAAGTAATTTCAAGCAAGTGGAACCGAAAAGTGTGGTAATTTCATTGTTGATTTTGGGATTTTTTCAATCATTTTGTAGGGTGAATTGAGGAGCTTTATTGAACAAGATGGACTTCTTCAACAATCTCGATACCGACATGTCGCTAGCTATTCTTTCCTGTCTAGATGATCCATCAGATCTTGTCCGTGCTAGTGCCGTCTCACGCTCCTGGCGAGAGTTTGGTAAGCTCATAATCCTCGTTCTTGGTATTTCAATGTGATTATCTCTTAATCTGAATTGTGTCAGTTCAATGTTGAGTAGGATTTTGCCTTTCTTTCCGTAAAACGGTTGTTTAATGTTCGGAGAACGGGTTTGGATTTGCAGTGATTAAATACAGTCTCTCAAAGAATCTATGCTTGAAGTTGTTCCATCAGCTATCTAGTGTGGATCATATAGTAGAAACCAGTAATGATAGAAACGAAGAGTCCTCTGAAGCCGGGTCAAGCAGTGTTGCTGATACAAGGCTACTAGAAAAAGAGCACAGGGCTTATGCATTATTGACTAAAGGATGCACATCGTCCCCTATCGGAAGCTGTATTGCTGACGCCATTGTAGCGTCTAGTACTGATAATTTCCCAGCAGAAAGCATCTTAAACACACTCGACGAAAGAGATCAGATTGGTCAAACCCCTTCATATTGGTCGAGTACAGGACAACACAAGACTTCGGTGCCCGAAACACTTCTTTACAAGTTGAATGGTGATTTGTGTGTCATTACTGAATTTAGCGTTCAGCCTTTCCAAGGTACCAATGCCATCCTCGTGTTATTGGCTTTAAGTTTCTAATTGGTTTTTGTTGGCTTGCTTAACGGTTTCCCTGTTTTCTCTAGCTTATTTTCAGCCAGGATATCCGATATATTCTTCGCATTTTGTTCGTTTCCGGTTGGGTCACCTCAGTAACAATTCACAGGATGTAAAAAGTGAGTCAGGAAAGATGCCGGCCGAAAACAATTATGTATGGACTTACACTTCACAAAAGTTTGCAATGGCTCAGGTGTGTTGTAAATTATTGTCTAATTTAGCATAATATAATAAATCTTGTTCCTCAACTATCGGTAACTAATGATGGTCTTTATGAGTAGGAAAATCGATTGCAAAACTTTAAGCTTCCAGAACCTGTTCTTTGCATTGGTGGTTATATGCTAATCGAGTTTCTAGATCGAGTTCAGACACAAGAAATGGATGGCCTATACTATATATGGTACTTCTTCTCTCGCGATTGGTTTAGATTCCTAACAAAACCATCACAGCTTTCGCGTTTTGAAAGTAGTTCCCGTTGGTTGTTCTTGCAGTGTGTCGCATGTTAAAGTGATGGGAAGATCATTAGGAAAATCGTTTCAGGTGGTTAATCCGGATGACTCGGGAAAATTTGGATTGAACGTATTGAGTTACAGTGATCCACAAAAAATGGAAGTGGATGTTGAGCCGGGGATGCTAATGAGAAACATTGAACAGCTCTTGAATTTCCTAAACAGGCATCCTGTCGACGTCGAGTATGTTTGGCCTGACTCAGACAACGAAGATGGTGATGAAGATGGTGAATCAGACGATGAGGTTCTTTAGTGTCTGAATTACTACTTCCAGTTGTTTTCTGTTCTTTTTTTCTGGCGTTACTTACATTTGTAAAAGAATCTTTTAGTTGTTTTTCAACTTTAGTGAGCCGTTTTAAAAGCTTCTTCTCCAGCCATTTGTGCGCTCTCTCTCTTTTTTACTTAGTTGTTGTCAACATTGTCAGATTTCTGAAATAATATCTTTACTATTAGGCTTTGTGACATACTCTTTGTTCTGTTAACTCGTCATTCCAGAGAATTGAAGAGTGTTTGTTCACTAGAAAACATAAGAGTTTATTGGAAATTTTAAACAAACCAGCAAAACACAACATAACTGAAGAAATCAAAGACGACAACTGAAGAAACACACAAAGTTAAAGAGGACATATCCGCGAGAAACACGAACTAGATACCAAACAACGAGCATCTCTCAACAAAGGAAAAGGAAACAGAGAGAGAGCAATGAAGATGTTTTGTTTTTGGTTCAAGGTTTAAGCTCTTTGGCGAGATCAGTGTAGATCTCGTCGAGAAGCTCCAAATCAGAAGTAGAACCCTGTCCTTCCTGCAGATCAAAGTCGAGGTCAGAGAGGCTGATCCCGTCTTGCATCAATTCTTCATCCAAAACTCTCTGTGGATTCTGCATTTGTAGCCGACCAACAGCTTCCTTGTTTGAGGACTCCCTCGGACTCAATGGAACCTCACCATGACCCACAGACTCCCCAACGCTCTCCAAAGGCTGAAAATCTAGCTCTTCGAATTCATAAGCCACTGTCCAATACCAAATTTGGTTACTTCAAACTAAATACCAAGTAAATGACCATGAAACCAGTTCTACATAATTGATACCAAATCTCAAAGATCACATATGACAAAGCAGAATTAGAATCTTAAGCAACCTAAATCAAATGCATTAATAACTTGCAAGATATTGCAATCACTCCAATACTATTTGAGATCTGAGAGGCTCACCATAAGCAGCAAAATCGGTAACAGGTTGTGTGGACCACTTTTCTAATTCCTCCATACAAACCAGTTCTGGCTTCTCTTTCTCACCACCTTCTCCATTCTTCTTTGTTTCTGTTGGTTCCACTCTTCCATTGTTGGCTTCTTCTGCATGTATCATAAGAGTTTGCACATTGGTGGATATAAGTTACCAAAAAAAAAAGGAGATAGAAATGTGAAGCTCACCTATATTTGGGATAGCTTCTAAAGTTTTGATTTGCATGTTATCTGCAAAAACGAGTTTTGGCTTCTTTTGGTCTCCTAAATGAGAGCTGTAATCCTTCTCTGCATGTTCTCCAGTATATGTATCTGCTCTTTCCTTTCTTTTGTTACCTTTGCTGTGTTCATCTGCATAAAACAAAGTTTTAGTAAACCTCAACAGAGAACAAACAAAAAAAAAAGCTTTACGAGATGAAATGGAGATGTTCACCATCTGTTTGTCTGAATTCGTTCTGCATTTCCAGACCTATCAGTTCTGGTTTCTTCTGGTCTCCTGACAGAAAATTATCACCTTCGTACTCATCAAGATCTTCTGTTTTAACTTCGTTGTTCTGATTATCTCCCTTAAGCTCAAATCCAAGAGGTTGAGTGTGGGTGATTGAACACTTTTCCTCAAGTGGGTCGGATTCAATTCGACAAAGAAACTCTTCCTGTGCCCAGACTTTAAACTGCCACAGGTTTTCTAAGAAATTGTCCATGAACGGCTTCTTCAGATGAAAACTAGCACCTCTGTACAGACAGTAAAAAATGGGGGCATCTTTCACATATTTACCTGCAACTATTAACATGTAGAGAAGAAGAATAATTAATAGCAAGCATCTCTCAAACTTGTCTAGAAAACATTAACGATCCAGAAGCAAGGATTAATTCAAGGTCTCAGACTTGTTACGAAAAGCATGAATTAATATAAGGTCTCAGGCTTTTCATAGAATATTAACGATCCAGAAGCAAGGATTTATTTAAGGGGTCAGACTTGTCAACAAAATATTAACGATCAGGATAGAGGCTCGTTTGCTTACCAACAATTGGAATCTCACAAAGCGACTTAACTTTTTCAAGAAGCTCGTACTTGTTCATCTCAATCAAGCGGAACTCTGCTAGGACAAGATCAATCTTCTCATTATTGATAATTAGCGGCAATTCATCAGCTCTTCTAGTAGCCACAACTGTGAGATAAGATAAAGCATTCCAGGATAAAAACCAGCAGATTAAAACCAAAAGAACAAGGCTAGTAGAGGTGCTCAGCAATAACGATATCATGCGAGATGGTTTATCAGAAATATTTGGGTAATGATATACCTCGATATCCATGTTTGCGCAGCGTCTCTGACATATTCATAAGAGCTGTTGCATTGCTGTGAAATAGCAAGACACAGATATCATTGTGAGATCTCTCTGTTTTGTCGGTATTTTCCACATGAAAATCCTCTTCTCCGTTCATGATTTTGATAGAAACAGTAAAATGAACGCTTAATAATCAGAAGGCTCACGGAACTAGATAAGAAGAGAGACTTAATCACATGAAAGTACTCGCAAAGCGATTTATATAAGCGGAAGAAACGAAGAATGAGGGGAAAGGCAATCCTACGTGTTTAAATTAGAGGATGAAATCCGCTAACGTATCAAAACCAAATCTGAACCTGGGTTCACCTCATAAATGCAACAACGAGTCTCCACGTTTCACCATGCGCTGCGTTACAACGGATTCTAGTCAGATTCTTTAAAATTACCATACATAGAGATAGCCATTGAACTGCAAAGTACCTTTAAACGTGTTTATTCCCACGCATGCAAAGGAGTCGCCGATTCTTTATTGGTCAAAGACGCAAAATACCAAAGTATATGACTAATTTTCAGCAGGACTAGAAAGACTGAAAATCAATTAGTCACACAAAAATCTAGTTTTTGTATGCTTAATAAGAACTCAAATCAAAGGAGACACGCAGTTCGTTTAACAAAAACAAACTGAAAATCAATAAGTAGAAAAAAGCTTTGAACAATTCCCAGATAGAAATTGTGCAAAACACTCTTGAAAACCAGAAATTGAGTGCAAAGATGAAGAGATCGTGCAACATAACTTCAAGCGTGCGACATTTTTTCTTTTCGATTCTTGAATTTGCTGACAGTTGCACTAGGCAGAGCCCCGTAACTATGACTATGAGTTAAGCACCATTACCTCTCAGAATGGGATCATGTCATCGCTGCCGTGAGCCCATTCTGAAAGCTACCTACTTTTAACACATCAGAGCTCTTGCAGTGTAGTGCGCGTTCCCTATGAATAGTAATGCCGAGGATATTATGTTGCAGAAATAGAGTTAATATGATAAGTGTATGCATGTAATAATGCCTTTTAACAATTCCTGCTCACATTTATAGCACACATATAGCAAAACAATAAACCAGCAAGGAAAGGAAGAATTACAGGGCCAAAAGGCAAAAAGGACTGAATAAAACCATTACCTTTTCACACAGTAATTGTTCAGCTTCACCTCGGAAAGCAGACTGATTAAGTCATATGCATTCATCTAATTCACAAACAATCACAATAGTCATCATGATCATGAACACAAGGTTCATTTAGTCCATCCAGTGGATCAACAGCCTCTTTATTACAATCAGTCCATCTTGTTCTACACATGATTCTTCTGTCTAGACATGGCTACCACGAAAGACAATGCCCATATCTTGTAGTCTGCACAAGTATCTCAGCACATTTATGGATGATCTTTCACGACATAAAGTTTTTTCGAGAGAAACAATTGCAGACAAATAATCAAACGCATAAACACAAGCATCTGGATAAACTGCTCAAGTATCGGTGATGGGAACCTGCGTACAAACAACAACGGCTCTTGATCACACACTTAGCCCCAAAGAGGGGGCTTCCTATCAGAAGTGATAGGAGCATTCACATGACCTTCATTGCTTAGCTGGGAACATAACCAACAACCAGAAATTTACTGAACATGTAGCGAGAAAAAGGGTAAAACAAAGGATATACAGACAATTCTAGTTCATGTGCACAATGTTTAAGATTGTTTGTACATACGTTAAAAATATCTTGTCATAGTTTTATCAACAGAAACAGAGAAAATGAAACCTCATTCTTACCAGTTAATTTTTAATAATAAAAGTTGTCTTTAGTCACTACTGACTACAGTAGTCATCGCCAGGTCACTGAACCAGTGAATAGACACAAGAACTGAGTATAACAAAGCTCCAACAAACCTTTTGAGTTTTGATTATAAAACTGTAAATTAATAAGTAAACAAATAGAAGCTCTAACTCTTGCAACACGTAGAGCGAAACATCCTTGGTCCCACATATTTTGTCTTATTCTCTACCAACTAACTTAATTATATTAAGCAAAAACTCTGTTCACTTCCTTCTCTAAGCCTGCATCATCTTGAGATCTCCATCAAGAAGCTGCCTCTCTCTTTCCAAAAACTCTCAACAGCCACACATAAATACATCTTAACACTCCTAAACATTTCAATAGCCCACTTCCCTCTTTCAAGATATTTTTCGTTTTGTTTAAGACACTTTAGTCAGTTCAGTGTTATTCCAGTTCAGCTACGTACCTGAGCCAAAGAGAGTGCTTCAGGATGGAACTAAGGCCGAGAATGCTCAAAGACTGCCTTTTGGAAGATTCCAATACCTGTTCATCAAACGGGTTCAAATCAATTCCCAGACGATCTCCTTTCGACCCATTTCCCATGATACCGAAGAGGAAACAATCCAATGCATTGCAGGCTGTGATCAAGGCGGTCAAGAACCTCCGTTTCAACGCTATTAAATCCGCTCCATCAGGGATCTTACCAAGGAGCCTCTCTCGGCGGCTATCATCCAAGAACAAAGCAGATAACCAAGCAAGCATCGCCATCATTCGAGTCAAAGACATCGTACGCTGGAACTCGTCTAAGGACCTGCATGAGGACATATCACACTGCGACCTGTCTCCACCACATCAGTA